AAAAAGTTAGTTTTATTTGCAGAGAGGTCTCGCCAGCAGCCAAGAACAGACATAAACAATCAGCACTTGTAGTGGTCCTGCGAAGGTCTGTGTCGGGAGGGTAGTTTCCACAGACTTTCTAGTCGGCCAAGCAATTGGTCGTTTGGGACTCGGCGTCGTTTGGGACTTGAACCCGAGGGGTTCGTGTTTGGGTTTTTTGGGCTCCGATTCGGCTTGTTTCACCGGTGGGTCCAAAGCCGGAGCTGAAAACAAAAAACGATGCGGTGCTCCAATGATTCGGAGGCAACTCCCTCCACTTCCTCCAATCACCAGGTGTCCTTTTAGGTTGGAAATAGATGGGTTTCCTTGGTAGATGATGGAAAACCACCAGGTCAACCAGGAATCAAAACCCATCTGTTTTTTGAGCAAAACAACCAAACAGGACACCTATGCCTCCAATGATTCGAATTTGGCTCGCTGGTTGAAGGTTAGCTTCCCGGAGGGAAGCTGATCAGGAGCGGGGGTCACTCTTTTTGCCAACCTTTTGTAAGAAAATTTTGGCGACCCCCTTCAGGAATCCTTCAGGAATCCTTCACTAGGGGGTCGAAGAATTTTCCACAAGAGGTGGCAAAAAGACACCCTTCTGATCAGGAGATGATCACGAACTATGGCCAAACTTCCGGGCACTCCTTCGCCAACAGCCTCCTGAAATCCAACGAGGATGGGCCTCCGTCGCGAGAGGGCGGAAGGCAACTGGCAACTCTTCAAACGAGAGTCCTGCAGGTCGTTCAAAGCATTCCGACCTTCTCCGTTTTTGTATTTTGTTTTTTGTGTGTATATTTACGAGAGGGGGTTAGAAGCAAGCTCTTTCAACAAGCCAGAGAGTTTAATTGGTGGGCAGAGTGCAGGTAAAAATTGAGCCGGACTGCATACCTCTGTCTGCGGTCTGTGATCATTTCATGACCATTTGTCGTGCTTTGCTATTCGGGTCCATCCCAATGTTGACCAAGGGGATGTTCCCCGCCAAAAGTGATGAAGCCCCACTAAAAAGGGGACACCTCCCCATGAACAACCAGAGGGTTTATTAGTTCGGGGTTCCCATTGGTTGGGAGACAACGTTTGTAGCTCTGCGACGTTTGCGAAATGATTGCATGGATAGAGTTTGCCAATCGAACACACGAAGCTGTGGGTGTTTGCTTAGCTAGTACGGACGGTCATCAACTCTGAATAATATTGGGAATTTGGACAAGCATTGCAAAGTTGCTTTGGCAAGCCATGGTGATGACCCACATAATGAAGGAGTCTTGATGATGGCACACATGGGACTGTCTTAATGGGGTTTCATAGAATGGGAGGTGTCCCTTAAATCTTTTTCAGGCTTCGCTGGAGGAGCCAGGCAACAGATCTGCGCAACAGCCTAAGGGTTTGGAAGGAAGTCTATCCGGGAATGAGACCCTGGAACGCAACTCTGGCAGTGGTTTTTGCGTAGCTCCAATGCCTTGGACCCTTTGACATCATCAAACACAACAAAACAAAAGAAAAATAGAAAAAGAAAAGTATGCTTGGATCCTGTTGAATGCGTAGTTCCCAGTAAGGGAACATGATATTATTTTGTTTCCAGTTTATTGGATGGATCCCTTACTTGCTATACAGGGAAAGCCGCTTGCCTAAAAGAATCTCTGGATAAACAAAATCACATATGCACCAGTTGGTAGGTGAATTTCCCGCAGGGATTCGTCCATCCCAACTGGTTTCTGGAATTTGTTCATTTACAGTCGGCTTGTGTTTCCAGAACTGGGCCCAACCGTTCCAAGTCTTCCCCTTTTGGGCTTTTCCCGAAACTGCAAAGGGGTAACGGTACCCCTTGACAACACCTCTCCTGCAAAGGACCCCCGAAGGACCCCCTAGGATTGAGCTTTGAGTTCCTATCAGATTGCAGGGGTGCTCAAAATTAAACGATCGGAGGGGCAAACCGAAAAGGTTTTGGTCCATGGACTTCACTTACTAGGCTTCTATTTTGGAATTCCGTTTTTTTCAGCCGCCAAATGATTGTTAGAATGCAGTCAGGACTCCATGGTTCAAATCAACGCCTTCCAATTCATAGGTCTCATCTCCCGGTTGCGCCTTTGACCGCCCAAGTGGTTTCCGTGTGAAAGCGGCCCAGAGAAATCAATCCCAGGCTGGCTGCTTAGAGTGGTTGCACATTTGGGCAACCCAGAAGACGCGTTCTGTGCACATTTCTGGCGCGGCTTGATATGTTGCCGCTTCACTCAATGTCAAACCAAAGTCGAGCTCCCTTAAGGTCCATCCAATGATTTAAGGTGGATTCATTCTCCAAATTCAGATTCGAAGCAGGCTCAAGACTGATTCGACTTTGGAGGTTGCTGCTTGACAAGGCGTTCAAATCGATGTCCTGTGAAGTGATTTCAGAGCAGCTGTTTTTGGGATATGGGTGTGGGTCAAAAAATAGGTACCCACAATGGAACCCTGGCAAGTGGAAACATGGACCAAAACCTGCGGTCCCTTGGTGGCTTAATTTTGACCCACATATGCTTCTAGCTTTGGGGGGACTCTCAACACATCAAATCCTTTCGAGGATTTTGCGCTACCCACATGCAGACCAGTTTCCATTGGTTTTGTGAAAGTCGGCAGGGTTGGTTGCTAGATTGCTTCCAGCAACTGGCTATGAGCTCTGCTGGTTGTAATATTCTCCAAAACGGATTCCTTTAGGCAGCCGCAAAATCCAACCAATTCAAACTCTTAAGCCAACTGAATCCTAGCGCTCTTTCCAGGGACAATTTCTTGAATGTATGCTTAAACAGCGAGTTAATGCCAGTGGATTAGTCAGGAGCATGCTGATTCGGGCTGAACAAATTCATTTCAGGGCACTCCTTTGATCACTACTAGGTCCCCCAGTAGTGCCCTTTACCCTTTTTTGGGGAGGGTTCCCCCACTAAAATAGACTACAGAAAAAAGGGTGCCCTTCTAACCTCTCTACTGAAGGACCTAGACTTTGGTCTTCAGGCCCAATCCGAAGTTAGCACCATTGTTCAACGGGGCTGCCCAGAGGAAGCTCAGCTACATGTGTATGGGTCAAAAACTCAGCCACCAGGGGACCGCAGGTTTTGGCCCATGTTTCCACTTACCAGGGCCATTGTGGGTACCTATTGTTGACCCCCACCCACATATTGGTCCAAAAGGTAAGGTTTAGACGCCGCCAACTAGGGAAAGCTGCTACATATTGGTTCCAAAACGGGAAAGAGAAGGAACCATTGGTTTTTTTTTTGGTTGTTTTGGTAGAACAATAGATGGGTTTCCCTGGTTGACCTGGTGGTTTAATCACCTACCAGGGAAGCCCATCTATTTCCCTTAAAAGGACACCTAGGGAACCCTGAAGGCGGATCACAGCCTCCAGCCGCCCTCGGCAGGCTGGCTTCTACATCGGCATGGACTTGGGGGACAACTACCCACGCGGCGTGAACCTCTGGGAAGCTCACGCCGAAAAGGTTGCTGCGGTATGTCCACCAGTGGATGGTTGCGAAATCCATCCAACGCACCACCGTTCAGAAACCCTGGAAAAAATGATTCCCCTGAATCTAGCAACAAACAATGGCTTCCCATAATTTCAAATTAGTGCGAAATGGATTTCGTCCATCCACAGTATGATTATTGGGGGAGTACTATTTGGGGGGGGGGAGGTTGTTTGGGGGGGAGGGGGAGGGGGAGATTGTGCTATTCAGGGTACCCTCAAAGCACTTTGTAACCGGCACGGGCGCTTACCTGCCAGCGGTTGGCCAAGGTTTTTTGAGCCAGTGCCAGGGGTGTAATAACCTAGCCCTGCCCTCTTTGAATAACATGTTCCCTACTCGCAAATGATTTTCCCAGACTTTACAGCTCCACACTAAACCAGTTTAAACATGGCAAGGACACCACTGCAAGAGCATAGCTTGCCTGTAAATTTGGATTCGGCCCCCCTCGTTTTGTGTTGGACTGCGTGCGTTTGCAGACTCAGTGCAAAATGGAAAGACCAACGCAATATTGGACCACTCAGACTTTCAATCTGGGAAATACCACAAGTGTGTGTCACACTGTGATTGTGGCGTTGTGTGTATATATATATATATATATGTGTGCGCGTTCGAGCGAGAGAGCGGGTGTGGGAGCAGGAAGGCACGTTTGTGTGTGTGTGTGTGCGTTTGTTCCTTGTGTGTTGGAGTTTGTGTTAGGAATTGTTTGCAACTCGCCCTGTGTTCCCCGCCCATAAGGAGCTGAAGGCAGCTGAGAAGCAGAAGAAGTCAAAGCTGGTGTACAAGTTCAAGACAAGGCACGGCACCAACCCTACCAGTCCCGCTGGCACGGCCTACGATGAGTACACGGAGATATCAACCAGTGAGAAGAAGTTCCTTGGATTCATTTAAGTCGATTGTTGCTCGTTCGGTATGGAGATAGAAATCTTATTCCGCCATCCCACCAACCAACGCGGGAGCCGAGCAAATCAATTTTCACGTGGGAAATGGTCTCAGACAGCCATTGCGAACACCAGTTGACTTCCGTTGTTACCGTCCTATAGAACTTGCAGCCAACCAGCTGGGCATCATGATCCATGTGTAGGGCCAGGATGGGTTGTTTCCTTCCGAATCCAAGTGGTCAAACTGATGAGCGTCAAGACTGCTTGAATCAGGGGACCACAACAAAACCCTGAACGGGTCTAACAAAGGCTTCCAAGCTCAGGACATGTAGCATGCGAGAGGATCGAACAGGTCCAATTGAGAGTCCGACAGCTTCGAACTCCGACAGACGCCTGTCCGGAGCCATGGTCGAAAAGGGAGACTCCCTGCGTTTGGTTTGGTAAGGCCGAATATTGAACCCATGAAATCGGAGACTCTCACTTGCCCAAAGCCAAAGCCACCTTTTTGACCTTTTGTTTTTTCTTTGTTGAGCCATGTCTAGTCGTGGCCCTAAAAGATTAGCCTTTGTTTGTGGGTGCTTTGGACTGGGGATGTATTCAAACCCCTCGGATCTCAGCAACCATGGTTTGTTTCTTCGTTTGAAACCCCCGAAGCTTTCACCTTGGCAGAGGGTGTTCCAACAACTGAAGAACTATGGTTTCCAGAAAGGACGCCAAACTGAAAGCGAGGCTCGCGGCGTCCCCTCCCAATTGCAGTTCGTTTGATATACTATATGTATACGTGCATATATATATATATATTATTTATTTATTTTTATTTATTTATTTATTTATTTATGTATTTATTTATTTATTTATTTATTTATACACATACGTAGTATAAATAATATGAATACATATATATATATAGACTTGTTTGCAAAAGGGGCACCCACGCAAACGAGTGCTTCCCTTCGGGTTTCAATCGAAACCAAGACCAAAAAGAGCATCGAGGTCTCTAACACCCAACTGTTTCGTGGCGTGTGTGTTTTGTGTTTGTTTGTTGTTTTTTTGTCTCCATGTGTTTTGCGTTCCCCGCTAAAAGGATGTCAACCCCTGACATGTCCATTTCGTTCCACCGAAGCTGACATGTTGCGAGCTCAGGTTTTACAAGTGGAGCAACGACAACTATTGCTATACCGAGCTGGCGCATCCGGGCATTCACGAGATCGGCAATGAGTCAATTATCATCTTCTTCGCAGGCCCCGAGCCCGAAACCCGAAACGAGCCGTTGGATTTTTGATTCGCCCGGATTTGATTCGCGAGGCGCGGATGCTGTGAATGTGTTTTGGCTTGGAACACCCTTAAAACAAGTGGATATGAACTAAACTGAAGCTCATAGCCGGTGTGTCGGCCCGTTTCATCTTCGACTCTTGAACCCTTCCAGCGGCCAGTTCTTTCCAGCGGGTACAAATGATTTCCTCTTCCTTCATCCATCCCTCCAGCTACAAGTTTTTTTTTCTGAATATATGCACAACTTCCTACATGCAAAGACTTGTTGTTTTCGTGGGGTCAGGAGCTACCCCTCTGGCGCTCGTTTGAAGCCTCGAGTTGGCATTTTCAGGTTAGAGGTGATGCGCAGGACATACCACCACCTAGAAGCTAAGCGGTACCCCCTTATAGCAGTGGTATAACCTCCATAGCTCCAAAACCCATTCATGGCAATAGTTGCGGCTCCCAATAGTTGTTGCTCCCAATAGTTGTTTTTTTTGTTCGTCTGTTTGGTCGCCAATTCCGAGTTTGTTCTTATGCTGGGTTGATGTTTCAACCGGAAATCGTCTGCACGTGGTATTTTCCTAAGTCGGTTCAGTTGGCCAAGCTCGCTTACGATGCTCTCCGGTGCCCAAGTTGATTTCCCTTCACGGCCTCCAACGCCAGATACTTCAGGGTAGACCACATATACAGCAGGATCAGTTGCCTGCGACTCCAGATGTGGGCCAAATTTAGTACAGTGCATGATTGCCACTCCTGATAGCTTTATAAGGCCGTGTTCCATTGTAGTATGTAAGTATGTTCGCCATGTTGATTTGTCCAGGCTTCACATGAGTAGCAAGGTATGGGAGTTGAGATACTCAGTAGCGGGGCTTCTGTTTACCTCCGACGAAACCTGTCAGACAAATCTTTCTCGGTTGCCCGAGAATAGATCCCGGCTTCAAGAAGAACCACTCTTTGGTTAAGGAATTGTAGCACAAGCAGCCCAATGCCAGATCATAGATCACCTAGTTGTGACCATGAATGATGGCCTCCATCAAGAACCTTCCACTTGTACAAATCGGACGTAATTCCAATATCAGGGCTCCTTAAAATAAATTCATGTTGCGTCACCATTTGAGTTACTAGTACATGTTGTATTTTTTCAACACCAACATAAAGAAGTGGGTTTCCACCATTTACAAGTTGCAGTTGCAATGTTCAGGGTGTTTCTATTGTTAGGATCCTTAAGAAAATATGGACGGGAGGATGGGGGGTACAGCTTGAGGGATAGGTGCGCCTTCTGCCAGCCAGTTGCTAAGCATGCGGCCTGGGCCCAGAGGCCCTGAGGCCTACCTCCATAGATTCTCGGTTTCCTTTAAGGAAATCCTTAGGTTCACTCCAAGACAAGTCATTCCTTCACTCCAACACCCAGGGTCATTCACCTGTGGAAACCAGCTATCAAGGGGTTTATTCCCACTTCTGTGATACTTTTGGGAATCTCCCCCTTATGGGGTGTTAGTCTTTGGGAAGCCCTTCTTGTTGTATCACAGAAGTGGATTCCATTTCCCACAACCCTGCTTTTGTTGGAATGATTTATCGGCCTGTCGCAGGTGAGAACCCCCCCTTGGACAACAGTCAGACGGGCGAAGTGATGAATGCGGCGCGGAACGCCGCCTGGCGACAGCTCTCTGGAACTGAAGCTCAACATGTTCGAGAGGGAGAGGGGCGTGTAGGGTTTTTTGGTGGGTAAATGGGCTGTCTTTTGTTGAGGGTACCCTTTTGGGGTGAACTTTTTTCGTGGAAACCCTTTAAGAAACGCCAGTCCAACCTTAAAACCTTCTTCTCTCGGGAAGCCATGTGGTGTTTTGGACTGTCACTCCCTGAGTACCTTTTGGTGTGATGGGTGCAAGCACCGGGTTCTTTGTCGGGTCCATGGGGCAGAGGCTCGACTTCCCGCAATCAAATTCCGCCATCGCAAGGTCGGAGACTTGCTCCTTGAAACAGTGGCTAAAGGAGGGGTTCGTTGACAAAAGCCACAGCTAGCTGTGGCCCGTCGCAAATGACAAATCGGCAGGTCGAATTCGGTTGAAGAAAGTTTTCGGGGTCGTTGCTATGCTGAATCTGCCATTTTGGCTTTCAGCTGGAGCCACTTTAAACCAACTCCTGTGAGCGGTTCAAGCTAGACAAGCCTCTTTATCCAACCAGGTGTACAGGTGTGGAGGGTTCTGTGTTTGAAGGAGGGCGTGCATGAGCGGACCCCCCAGTCGGGTTTGCCTTCGAGTATATCAATGGCTCCCTTTTCTGAGGAATGCTGCATCATTGTACAACATACTAAGCAACGTGTGCAAATATCTTCATTGTTAAAGCAGGATTGATCATTCATCTTTGTGGCTCAGCAATACCATCGAAATGGTAGGTGTGTTTTTTCTAAATGGTCCTTCGCCTTGTCCTGCTCCAGGTTGGCTGGGTCAAGATCTCTCGCGATCTCAGTAGCGACACGGTGCTGTCGCCGGGAGAGGCTCTCGATGCATGAATGGCCTGGTCTTCAAGGGTACAAGGGCCTGTTACAATGTGTTGGTGGGCAACTAGGCTGTGTTTCTTGCGTTTACCCACATAAAGGGAACTGTGCCATCCACTTTCACCCTGAGCTATTTTGTTTTGCGTTTATCTACGTAAAGATAATTGTGTCATCTAGTTTCACCCTGAGCCAAATCTTGGCGGTTATCTCAGTTGTGCCATGTACGTTCAGCCTGATCCAGAAAAGACACGTGAGCAGAGTTTTTTTTTTGTAGCGCCCCGAGCCGCGTAGGCTGGACTTTTTGCGTAGGAACTGCCTCCGCGTAGGCTGAAACCCTGCAAAAATGCAGCTCGCGTAGGTTCTGCGGAGTTCCCCTTTTATGTACCCAACAAAAACTCTGCTCACGTGGGTGTGGGTCAAAAATGGTTACCCAAAAGGCCCGAAATGGAACCCTGGTAATGGAACCAAAGACTAAAATCTGCGGGCCCCTGGTGGTCTAATTTTGACCCATAGCAACATGGCTCTGCTTGTTGCTCCCGTAACCGGCCAGGTGGAGACGGGGGGCTTCTATACCTTCGGCGGGGGGTGGTCTGAACAGACCAACCAGGGCATCAGCTTTCTGACCTCCTACACGGACAGGGATGGGCAAAGCACGACGGTGGGAGTGCGATGTCCTGAGCTTCTTTTGCTTCCATTTGCTTAAGAATATCATTTACTTTCTCCCGTGGGTTTGAAAGGGAATCTATGACTACTGGAAATATGTTTTGGTTATTTTGGTAGAAAAAAAGATGGCGATTCCTGAGTGTACCTGGTGGTTTAATCATCTACCAGGGCCATTTATTTACCCTAAAGGACACCTATGGTCCTGAGCTTCTTTGGTAGAGATCCCGCATCAGCTAGGTGCCCTTTCTCACACATGTTTTTTGGTTGGGAGGGTTGCCCTACTAAAATCGACTACAGAAAAAAAGAAGAAGCTGGTACCCTTATTCTAACCTCTTTACTGGAGGACCTAGCCATGGTTGCCCGGAGAGTTATATATAACAAACTGCCAGATGAGATTCATGTTGAGGGAACCCATTTTCAGGTACCTGAATTTGTTGGTTTGGGTCGGTCCCATCGTCTTTGAGAAGTCAAGGCAATTCGGGATAAGGTGACTTTACAGGGAAACTAGCAGGACATCTCCACCCATTTTGTTCTTAACAATTGTTTGAGTAGACCACTTTAGTACCAGGTTCCAATTATGACTCGCTCGTTTCGATCGGTCAAGCCAACCTGGAAATGGTACATCTGAAGCACAGAAACACCACAGGTGGCTGTGAATTTGATTTATTGTAGCACCAACTCCAAAATTGTTGCACGAATCCGTGAGGTCTTAGGTATTGACTGGTGACTTAGTTGACCACCTCCCTGTTGACCTCTGGCTTTGGTCCGTTTAGGAATTTGAATCCCATGCCGTTGAGGATAAGTGCGAAACAGCCCTCTTACCTTCAAACCATAAGTCCAAACCGCTGAATACGTTGCGCCCGCTTTGAGCTATTGGCGACCTGATGTTGGCACGGGAGTGTTATGGGATTCTGCCTCATGAACGGGGGCTCCTGAAGTGTCGGTTCAAATTACTCCTTAATACATGGTTGTTGTTGGGAAACTTTTTACATTTCTGCTTATTGTGGTTTAGTGGTTGAGATCCAACCACTCAACTGCTAAGGTTTATTTTTTTGCTACCACTTAACTGCTAAAGTTTGTTTTTTTGCTACCACTTAACTGCTAAAGTTTAATTTTTTGCTCGCCTTCCAAGGTCAGCCAAGAATATGCCAGATGGTAGCAGTTTTCCTTGTAGTGGCGTCCCACGTGGGAATATGGCT